TCCTTCCTAATCAGCGATAATTAAAATTCATAAGACGAACGAAATTATAATTTTACAAATTACACAACCTTGTGTAATGAAATATGTAAAAGCGCATAATTACTTGTTCTTTTGTTGTCTAAATTTGATGCGACCATAAATACTAGGGGCTTATGTTCATAAGATGGAAATTAAGTTTTATACGTTCAAACAATTTTTTTATAGGATAAGGGTGACAAACGAGCACACAATCCACCTCATGGTAAGTGGTTGCTGCGGCCTATAGACGTCTACATCAAACAAAATAAAGATGCGTTGTCACCCGTGAGGACTAAGATGGAATGCCTCATTTCCAGTAAAAAGGGTCTCCGGTTCTCTACACTCACCATACGAAACACAGCAGCGTTAAGCTGCTATTTTACGCTGGTATTCTGTGAGAGCGTGGTCCTTCCCCGGTCGAGCCGACCCATTCGTGCTACAACTTAAAAAAGTCTATGTAATTACGGAGAATTTTTTAGGTGACAATATTTATAGTTAAGACTACTAGAAATCTTATTTACGAAGTAAAAAGGCGAAAAAGCTGGAATTAGGGGCATAGCTGGGATTAGGGGCACCCACCCTATAATTAATTTTTACATATAAAACCAACATGCACGGCCGTAAGTATACCTGAGTATATGATTTTAATTCTAATTCGATACCTACACGCTTTCCCGAGATAAAGGGTCTTGACAGGCAGACGGACGGACGGACAGAAAGACGGACAAAGACGCCATCTTATGCTGCGACGTCATTAAACAAAACTTCTGAAATTTTGTAAATATGGTACCTATGTTTAGTCTTTTTACGTACTTAAATAAAATAAATAAATATCCTGGACATTTCACACATAAGTAGTCCCTGATCTCCCTTAGTGTTCTGTGAAACCTACTGTACTAGGTATGGAGGCCTGAGAAATACATAGATAAGTAGGTAGTTATTTAACACCTAGACACAGAGCAAACATCAGTGTTCGTCACACAAATGTTTGGCACGTTTGGACATCGAACCCAAAGGTCAGTTAAATAGTTATTGGTTATCTACTTTTATTATTCTGATTCGGCTTCTGGCAGGCAGCACAGTTATTTAACCTACCTAAACACAATCACAACTCTTTTGGTGGTAAAAAAACTGGTAGGTAGGTAGGTAGGTACTAGGTAGTTAGGTAAGTCCTTAGGTATTATTATGTGAATACCTATTTATTATCATACGTGTCGATCATGGATGAGGGGGTGCGTTTCCACTGAGGCGGTCTTTACTCCGCCCCCCTTCATTTGAGCCGGGATCACATCCGGATTAACTCATTAATATAATACCTACATAATATCGAGTTTCTAAATAGATAATCAAATATAGATAATAAAATAATCACCATCATCTTCTGATTGGAAAATTTACTCCACTCACACGATAACAAAAACCCGCGCAATCGTCTCATCCTCAAACGCAACGTATCAGCTAACGCATATTTCTTACCTTCTTACTCTAACGAAATAGTTCTCTGTCACACGCAGAACGCGACGTTGCCGCTTTGTGTTTGCGTACCTATATGTCAGTTTAGGCTCTGGATCCACTTAGCTTAGGTAAATGTCGCATATAAGTTAAATATATTCTGGATGTAAGAAATCGTATTCAGTATGATTTTTTCGACCGTTGATGGACCAACAAATATTGGTCAAATCGCTGACGAGTATGTTGAAAATTAGTAACCACAGATCCACCGACGTCACACGCGCATCAAGGATTGATCAAAGTATATTATTTTGTGCGACGCAGAGCTGAGTATATACGTAAAATAGGTGGATCAATATTTGTTCTAACTTCTGACTGGAGCAACATTTACCGTGAAAGGTTCTATATATATATACATATATATATATATATATATATATATATATATATATATATATATATATATATATATATATATACAAATATTACGTTATTAAGGCAAACTAAAAATGATACAACAGAAAATAATGATTTAGATCTATGAAACTGCAAATAATATTACAAATTAAACAACACCATGGTTGTTATAAAAGGTGACTTAAGGTAAATTATAATATATAACTAAACAATATATGTATAATAAAGTCAAGTAATAATGTCCATAGTCTTTGAGGTATTTGTATGTTTGCCTACAGAGAGACATTACTTACAGGCGTTAGATTGTACTTTATGTAATCTTTGTTGCTTTGCTTCACTTTTATTATGTAGGTACCGTAGCTCCTACCTAACATGAATGTAACTCCGTCTCCGTATAATTTAGTTAATCATTTATGCTCACTGCTCAGACCCATGACACCGAAATAATGCAATCCATAACGCAAAATTTTTTCACGTAATACGACAGAATAAATCAAGAAAAACCTTAATAATGTATGTTCTTGAAAGAATTTATTGTTAACAATGTAACATCACTTTTTACGAACAACAAAATTTTATAGATACGCAAAGAATGATAAGAAGTAATTAAATAATATGAATTAAAGGTTTAGGGTAAATAATTACATCCATCTACTTACTGTCGCAAAAGATATAAACGTTTTTACATTATATTTACAGCAAAAACTAAATCACTCACATATGAAATTATAGTTCGCGTGATTTTTGACTATATTTTGAGGCACAGCCTCTTACACAACACTTAGTCATCTTCGTACTTTGTAATGAATTGCAAAATTCAATATATACACTTTAAAAATTCGCAAAATTTTCAAATTAAGAAATATCAAACGATTTTTTATAACAGCAAATCTGAAACAATAAATGGCGGAATCGGCCGCAAGGCGGGATTAAATGACGTCATCTTAAAAATGTTTACCAGAATACGAAACAATTTCTATTATCTGTTTATTTATGAATGACACTTACGCTTACACTTCGCTGAGTGAAAAAGAGATAGGCAGCATATTGACAGTTCAATGTCGAATATAACCATATTTGTATAACCAATAAAACATATAGACGCTCTGTGCAGCTCCTCTATTTTCTATGCTCAAAGTTTTTTATACTTTTGTGTAGATAGAGGAATATGACAGCCTCATGTCATCTATTTAATTATATTAAATATTTGATCCCCTATTTCGCCACTCTTTGGGAGTCTAATATTTTCTCCAAATTTATATGGGACGACCTCTGATGTTTAACATATTTAATAAAAAATAATCATCAACATCAGTTCAGAAATGACGAAAATATGACGTTACATACATACAGTCTAATTGTTCCTGTTTTGGTATTAACTAAAAAGAAGAAAATGATGTTTTTATAACAATTTTTTTCTTACAAACAATTCAAATGATTTGACAAAAAGTTACTTATAAGTAAGATATGTAACCTCCTGGCAACACAGGCCATACACTTTTTATTAAGATTTTTGGTTTGGATGCTTGTTCTTTAAGCCAAGTCTTCGTTAGTCTCAGTATCAAGTCATAATCTTGCTTAGTTTACTACATATTTATTGAAATATAGTCATCATAATTCTTTATAGTGCACTGCGTTACGATATATTTATGCGTCACACTGCGTAGTTTTTGGGAGATTTGGACGGCAACATGAGCTAGTAGACAGTTGGCGATAATATCTAAAAGTGCCTAAGCAGACAAACACCGTATCTTGAGATTCACATCACCATCGGAGCCCTTTTTTTAACCATTTCCGCTAATAATAGCAGACATTTAATACACAAAATCGCACCACTTTGACAAATCAAAATCCACTTCAAACCATTATTTAAACAATATTACAAGAGCAGCATAGTATGTTAGTAATAGAAATAAAACTTACGAACTAATGTTAGTAAATAAAACAAGACAGAAATACACAAAAATTCGGGGTTTTATCAAGCTCCATTTAGTTAATGTAGCTTGACAAACCTACCCAATGTCTGGCCATCTAACTGCTGCGTAAAGACCCTCAAGACACTATTCAAGCTTTCTCCCACTCTGTGCATCCATGACACATATATGCTGCTAAGCTCGTCAATCTGCTTATTAATATAGATATTACAAACCCACGGAGAGGTAAGACCGCTCTACCTTACACCGCACTCAAGTTTATAAGAGTCAGACAATGTATTTGACCACCTTACAAAGTTTCTTTGCTTGTCATACCACATAGATAACGTAGAAGCAGAAGGAAGCAGGAACTCCCGCTTCCCGAAGCTTTTCCCACAGAACATTGTAGGAAACCAGGTCAAAGGCTTTTGAAAGGTCCAGGTAAACAAGCATACACGGATGTTTTTCTGTCAGTGTAATATTTGACAGTGTACTTAAGTGCAAAAATAGCACTCTCAGCGGATAGTCCCGGACGAAAACCAAAGTGTGAGCCGTGTATCTTTATGTATTCACTGAGGCGAGCACACTGTCAAATACGTTAGCTATTACGGTCGCCAGTGAAATAGGTATGTAATTACACTTATCTGCTGTGTCTCCCGTCCTGTTCTTAGACAACCTTCACAAAATAATATCACTGTAACTTTATGACGTAGGTACATAAGCTATTGATAATTTATAAGAATAATTAGTGATAACCAATTATTCTTAAACTATTTATTGTTATTTTATAATATACTATATGCGCGATGAACGAATTGTACTCTCGCTTTCTCGCATATTTCGTTTAATTACCGCCAGCACGAAGACAAGTTGGTGATTATCCGTCTCGAGTTAACTTGAGCTGAACGCAACTCGAGTTACGAGTAACTCGAATTAGTAAATCGAGTTGACACATCATTGAGGGGTACTTAGTATGATCGAGTATGTGATGTGCGTAAGCAAAATACTAGTCTGTGGTGATACCGTACCACATTCTCGATTATACTAGAGGATTCTGGATCCAGGACTATAAATAATCAGCAAAATGATAATGAAGAGTAGAGTTATGAGAAAATGATAATTTTAATACATTATTGCTGTAAAATTATGTATAATTTGTAATATAAACGAGGAAATTATTAATAACAATATAAAAAAAGTTTATTCGTCTTCATTTGATATATATATTTTTATATGACGTTGGGAGTTTATGTCACGATGTTGCAACAGCGAGCCATCTGATCGACGTCGAACTAAAGCAGTGCGACGTACTTCCTGCAATATAAGATATCGTAAAATGAGGCATGAATTATAGATTATTTTTGTTGATATTTGTTTATAGAATACAAGCATCATATGATCATACTGAATGTTTCTAGCTCTAAATTAACAATGCTAGAGAAACAAATATTTTTTCGCGAACACTACACATTTAAATAAAACTAGTTTTTACGGATTTCATCGCGTAGATTAACTTATTTTATATTCCCGACGTTTCGAGCACTTTACAGCACCTATGGTTTTGCTTTTTATTCAATGGATGAAGTGTCTATGGATTTGTTTTTGTTGGATTACTGTTCGTAACAACTTTTTACTTGCCTAATTTAAGATCTTAGCGCTTCCTCGAATGTCCTTTTTGGTTGATATTTTAACACACCTAGGAATGAGATTATCGTATCAGCATCTCTTCAAGTTTAAGAATGTCAGGTATCTTGCGCGCTTGGTCTTGAGATCTTCTAATAGGCGAACTTTATTTGCTAATACCAATCCGTGCTGGTTTACATAATGATTTCTTATATTTACGCGACAGTATTTCATGCTGGTACATCGCTTGCGACTTTACATAGCGCAAGTTCGGCCTCACATGGAATACTGTTCTCATCTCTGGGCCGGGGCACCCTAACCCCAGTGCCAGCTTCTTCCACTTGACCGCATCCAGCACAGAGCGGTTCGAATCGTCGACGACCGAGTTCCGATACACTGGCACTGCGTAGAGTAACTGCATAGATGCAACATGCATCTCTTTGCGTATTTTATCGCATCTATCACGGGGAGTGCTCTGAGGAATTGTTCGGACTAATTTCACCATCGCACATCACGACAAAACTCGCGTTATCATCCATACAATCTGGATGATTGGCGGTCCACCACCGTGCCATTTAGAAGAAGTTTTCTCCCCCGAACAACTTCCTTGTGGAATCGATTACCACCAGCGATTTTTCCGGACCGATACGACTTAGGGACCTTCAAGAAAAGAGCTTACACCTTTCTAAAAGGCCGGCAACGCATCTGCAATTCCCCTGGTGTTGCGGTTGTTCATGGGCGGCGGTAGTCACTTACCATCAGGTGAGCCGCATGCACGTTTGCCCCTTATTCTATAATAATAATAAAAAAAAACTTCAACGCAAAACTAGGCACAAGAGAGAACGGTGAGCTGAAACTGGGGCAATTCGGAATAGGACAACGGAACCCAAGGGGCCAGCAGCTGGCTGACTTCATGGAGAAAGAGGGTCTCTTTATGATAAACTCCTTCCTCCAAAAGCGGCCCTACAGAAAGTGGACCTGGTCGAGCCCTGAAGGTTCGACAAAAAATGAGATTGACTTCACTATGTCAACAAGACAACAGTTGTTCAGTGATGTCTCAGTGATCGTGAGGTTGAAAACAGGTAGGGATCACTGAATGGTAAGAGGCACACTGAACCTAAACGTTAAGTTGCAGATGTCACGTCTAATGAAGTTTACGCTCCGTCCCCCTCGTGCTATAATCCAAAGCTCTGAAAACTTTCAGCTCGAGTTAAAAAACCGTTTTCAGTGCCCAGAAGATTGCAATGCAGTAGACGATATAAATGACAAGCTCGTGGAAAATGTCCATGCGGTTGGAGCTAAGTTTTGCAAGACCTGCCGCAGAAGAACACAAAAACTCTCCGATCACACTCTTTATCTCACGGCTGTTAGACGGGAAATGAAGCTGCAGTCTTCAGTAGATTTGATAGCATACAGGCAACTGAACAGACAGATCTAAAAATGCATGCGGCGGGATTTACGCAACGTCAATACTGATCGTATTGAAGAAGAGATCGAGCCGAACCAGGACTCCAAAGACTTTGCCTGAGATCTGTCTGCCAGAAAAAGCCAACTGTCGAAGCTGAAGACCGAATGTGGCAGCATCGTTTTCAAGACACCTGAAATTTTGAGAGAGATTGAGAGGTCCTGTGAGCAGCTGTAAACCTCATCATTGGAGCCACACGCAAGTGTGAGTAACGATCCAAGAGCAAGTCTTATCCGACACTATTCCGAGCAGAGCTTTTGAAAGCGGGTGGAAAACCGGTACTTAAAGTCCTTCAGAAGCTCTTTAATTCCGTCCTCCATGTTAGTACTACTCCGGAGGCGTGTAGCAGAAGTGCGATGGTCTTGTTCTTCAAGAAATGCGACAACGCTTTTTTGAAGAGCTATAGACCGATTTCCCTTCTGAGACGTGTCTACGTGCTGTTTTCGAGAGTCATTACGAATCATTTCGCATGCATACTCGACGACTTCCAGCCTCCTGAACAAGCCGGTTTCCGAAAAGGCTTTAGCACCATAGACCACATACTTACCCTTCAGCAAATTGTACAGAAGACCGAAGAGTACAACCTGCAACTTTGCCTTGTGTATGTGGACTATGAGAAAGCCTTTGATTCCATCGAAATTTAGGCGGTGCTGCAGTCCCTCCAGCGGTGCTATATGTCGGTATATGCCAGGTGTCGGTATATCGAAGTGCTGAAGTGTCTGTACAGTAGCGCTACGATGGCGCGGCGATGGCCGTACAGAACTAGAGTATGAAACCTGTCCAACTGCAGAGAGGTGTAAGACAGGGTGACGTAATGTCCCCGAAATTCTTCACCGCTGCATTGGAAGACGTTTTCAAGCTACTGGGCTGGAAAGGATACGGTATTAACGTAAATGGCGAGTACATAACTCACCTTCGTTTTGCCGACGACTATATCCTTATGGCAGAATCGCTGGAGGACCTAATCAATATGCTCAATGACCTCAATAGTGTCTGCCAACGGATAGGTCTTAAGAAGAACATGGACAAAACAAAAATCATGTTTAACATCCATGTCACACCTATGCCGGTAGTTGTTGGGAGCACTAAGTTCGAAATTGTAGACGAATATGTTTACCTGGGACAAATAGTCCGACTAGGTAAGTCCAACTTCGACCGAGAGGTCAATCGACGGATTCAACTCGGCTGGGCAACGTTCGGGAGATTACGACTCATCTTCTCGTCAGACATACCTCAAAACCTCAAAACTAGATTTTACAATTAGTGCGTGTTGCCAGTGATGACCTATGAATCTGAGACGTGGTTCATCACTGCTCGTCGTATAAAGAAGCTCAAAGTCGCTCAGCGAGATATGGAGAGGGCTATGCTCGGCGTTTCTTTGAGTGACAGACTTAAAAATCGACGATATCCGCAGTAAAACCAAAGTAACCGACATAGCCCAAAGAATTAGAATGCTGAAGTAACAATGGGTCGGCCATATAGCTCGAAAAACCAACAACCGATGGAGAAGAAAGGTTCTCGAGTGGCTGCCTAGATGGAGTGACGACCTGGTAAGATATGCAGGAATTCAATGGATGCAGGTGGCTCGGGACTGTGCTTTGTGGCATTCCTTAGGGAAAGCCTATGTTGAGCAGTGGACTTGTAAAAAGCTGTAATAATAATGATGATGATGATGATGATGAATGTGTAGTATTCGCGTAAATATAAGAAATCAACATGTTTGTTCTGTTTCATGGATCTTCTTAGTCTACAATAAGGTTACGATACGCTTCGATTGGAGTTTTATGATTAAGGTCTATCTTGTGCTAATGTTTGCAGATGGATTGCATTAGCAATCTCATTGACGATCTGCTCGGGAGATGTTCTTCAAGGGCAACATCTGAACATGACGCCATTGGTTTACAATGTATGATAAGCTGAAACGGCTGAGGTAAGTATGGACAATATACAAAAAATCTTAAATAAACATTTAGGCGTCAAACGTCAATTTATGTCGTATTAAATAGATTAAAAAAAAGTCCGCTATCAATATGTACGAGTATATCAAAACTCACTTTAGCCGAGCCCTAGTCGCTTAGGGGCTGAGCACTCTCGTAATATTTCCTACTAGCTATTCCTCGCGACTTCGCTCGCGTGTAATTTAGGGTTTTAGTTTTGTTGCGCGGAACCCTTATTATTTTTCAAAAATATAAGTAGCCTAAGTTACTCCTTATAACATGAGCTATCTATCAGTGAAAATCCCGTCAAAATTGGTCCAGCCGGTTCGGAGATTAACCGGAGCAAACAGACAGACAGACAGACGGACAGACAGACAAAAATTTTAAAAATTGTGTTTCTGTTATAGGTACCGTATATACTTTTATATGCAGTTAGTAAAACGAAGTTATTTTGACATTACAAACAGACACTTCAATTTTATTTATCTCTATAGATTACACGATTAACCCCAATTTGGATCTCATCCGGCAGCACCAAAATTGTTAATGGTAATTCTGATTTACTACGTACATTCGACAGTGCAGTGAAGTACTCTTGATCCAAAAGTACTTTACACAAAATTTCTTTTACTTTACTCACTTTGACTGGCTCCAAGATGACATGATGGCTTGACCTTCTTGAGGTTGATACTGCGGTAATTGAAGAAGTGCGAGAAGATGGTAAAGGACTCTGCAGGAAAATAATAAGAGAAGACTTTTGTTGTATAAATTTGTGACAGTTTTTTATTAAACCCCAATAACATGTAATATATCATCATCATCATCATTACAGCCCTTCACAAGTCCACTGCTGAACATAGGCCTCCCCCAAAGAATGCCACAAAGCACGGTCCTGAGCCACCTGCATCCATCGACTTCCTGCATATCTTACCAGGTCATCACTCCATCTAGTGGGGGGACGCCCTACACTTCGCCTGCCAGTACGAGGCTGCCACTCGAGAACCTTTCTTCCCCATCGGTTGTCAGTTCTTCGAGCTATATGGCCGGCCCATTGCCACTTCAGCTTACTAATCCGTTGGGCTATGTCGGTCACTCTAGTTCTACTGCGGATATCCTCATTTCTGAGTTTATCACGCAGAGAAACTCCGAGCATAGCCCTCTCCATAGCTCGCTGAGCGACCTTGAGCTTCCTCATCCGGCCAGCAGTGAAGGACCACGTCTCAGTTCCGTATGTCATCACTGGCAACACGCACTGGGTGTACAGTCTCGTTTTCAAGTTTTGAGGTGTAATATATATATATATATATATATATATATATATATATATATATAAATATTTAATAGAATAACGGTGATAAGTGCCTACCGCCGCCCATGAACAACCGCAACAGCAGGGGAATAGCAGATGCGTTGCCGGCCTTTTGAAAAGGAGTAGGCTCTTTTCTTGAAGATCCCTAAGTCGTATCGGTCCGGAAAAATCGCTGATGGTAATCGATTCCACAAGGAAGTCGTACGAGGAAGAAAACATCTTCTAAATCGCACAGTGGTGGACCGCCAATCATCCAGATGGTGTGGATGGTATCGGGAGTTCTGCCGCGATGTGCGTTCGTGAAATTGGGCGGCTGGGATTAATCCGAACAATTCCTTAGAGCACTCCCCGTGGTAGATGCGAAAGAAAATGCAAAGGGATGCAACATCTCTTCGCAGTGCAAATGAATCGAGCATATCGGAAAGGACTCGGTCGTCGACGATTCGAGCCGCTCTGCGCTGGATGCGGTCAAGTGGAAGGAGCTGGCACTGGGGAGCCCCTGCCCAGAAATGGGAACAGTATTCCATGTGAGGCCGAACCTGCGCCTTGTAAAGTTGCAGGCGATGTGCCGGCATGAAATACTGTCCCGCTCTGCTGAGCACGCCAAGCTTTTTAGTGGCCAATTTGGCCTTCTCTTCCAAGTGACCACGAAACTGCACGTCACTCAATATGTTGACTCCGAGGATTCCGATACTGGCTGAAGCAAGAAGGGGAGTGCCTTGAAACTGAGGAGATACGACAAAGGCGTTCTTTTTAGCGGTAAACGCGTAAACTTGTGTCTTCTGAGGATTAAACTGGACTAAATTTAGTCGCCGCCAATCCGAAACTTTGTTCAGCAAAGACTCGACTTCAGACATAAGTTTGTTCCAGTACTCGGCGACGTTTTCCCGAGAAATATTGGCACGGCCGGTGTATAAAGCATCACCAGTGCTGCCATCCGAATAGTAATGAATATTACCAGTAAGCAACATATCATTGATATGTAGAAGAAACAGCGTTGGTGATAGCACACAGCCTTGTGGAACACCAGCGTTAATAGGCTTGTAGTCGGAGCATGCACTGTCTACAACGACCTTCATGCTCCGTTCTGCAAGGAAGCTGGTGATCCAATTGCACAATTTCTCGGAAAGCCCATACGAAGGGAGCTTCGAAAGAAGCGCTTTGTACCAAACCCGATCGAAGGCCTTCTTAATGTCCAAACTAACGGCCAACGCCTCCCCCTTGGACTCTACTGCCTGCACCCATCTATGGGTCAGGTAGACCAGAAGATCACCAGCTGATCGACCCTGACGAAAACCATATTGGCGGTCACTAATCGGCTGGTGATCCTCAAGGTACCGCATGAGCTGGCAGTTAATGATGGATTCCATTATTATGGAGAACAAGGAGGTGATGGTGATAGGCCTATAGTTGGACAGGTCTGAGCGGTCACCTTTTTTAGGGATCGGGTGGGCAAAAGCCATCTTCCATGAATTCGGGACTACGCCTTGGGAGTAGGAGTACCGGAAAAGACGCGTTAGGACCGGTGCCATTGCCGGTGCCATGGACCGTTATGCCGGTGGATTCCGTCAGGCTCACTCGACTTCTGGATGTCCAGGCAGTGGAGTGCTTTGCGAACCGAGCGCTGTGAGAACAGCACATCCGGCATGGAGCCCTCACACCGCGGGATGGTCGGCGGTGTTTTCCCCCCGTCATCAAGAGTCGAGTTGGACGCAAAAAGGGAGCCTAAAAGATCGGCTTTGTCTTTTGCGGCTTGGGCTAGTGAGTCATCCTTCATGTGCAGAGATGGTAATGATGGTTTACAGAAATTCCCTTGGACAGCCTTGGCGAGAGACCAGAATGCACGGGTTCCCGAAGGAAGGCGAACTAGTTTCTCGCCAATTCTGCCTATGTGCTCTGACTTTGCCTTGGCAATAACTCTTTTGACGGACCTAGAGGCGAAGTTATACTTCTTTTTAAGTGTGCTGGTGTTTACATCCCGAGTCGCCGAAGCCGCAGCCCAGGCTTGATAACACTCCTGCTTACTGCGTAATGCAATCTTACAGGAGCGACCAAACCAAGGCTGAGATCTTCCTCCGATGAGTACCACAGATGATGGAATAAATAGTTCCATTCCCTGTAGTACCACATCAGTGACAGAGTCAGCAACAGCGCTGGGATCATCCGGCGAGAAGCAAACCCGTCCCCATGGGTAGGATGCAAAGAAAGACCGCATTCCGTCCCAATCCGCCGACCTGTAATGCCAAACACGGCGGCAACCTACAGAACGCAGCCGCGAGGGGAGCGTGAGTGGCACCACACTCCGGATCAGACAATGGTCCGATGAGCCGAGAGGGGCATCGACGGAAACCTGATATCCGTCCGTATGAGAGGTCAGCAGAAGTTCCAACAGGGAAAGTGTATGATCTGCCACATCTGGAATCCGCGTAGGCTAAGTAACCAGTTGTGTCAGACCATATGCCAAGACAAAGTCATAAACAGATCTCCCCGCATGATCGGTTAAACGTGAACCGAGCCATTCGGCGTGGTGGGCGTTAAAATCGCCAAGGATCACGATCTCTGCGGATGGGAGCTGTTGTAACAAGGAATCTGTAGCCATTTGGACGTGGTCGATGAGTCGGTCTGTTTCGGCATTACCGCTATGGGACCTACAGAGGCACCCGTAGACGCGCGGATGGTTGTCGCTGTCTACGCGTAGCCAAAGGATGGATAGATCCGAACCTTCAAGACTGCCGAGGCGTCGAGAACAGATGTCCTCTCTGACATACACGCAAACTCCAGCCCGAGGCACAAAGGAGCGCTCCAATTTGTACCCCGGGTAGGAGAGATACGAAGTATCAGCCGGAGAGGACACCTACGTCTCGGTCAGAAAGAGCAAGGCCGGCTTCGCCGTCTCGAGATAGTAGTGGACGGCGGAAATTCACGGATAGCGTGGCAGGGGTCGCCTTGGTATTGTTGCTCAGTTTGCCCCGAGTTATGTTTTGAGCGGAATTTTGCCCCCCCCCCTCCAGAATACGCGAGGCAGCCTGAGCACCCACGCTCAGGAGTGAAATAACATGGTCGTGGATGCTCAGCGAGGGATTCTCCAGGGGTGCTGGAAGAGGGATCCTCCTGGGGTAGTCTTTCGTGCAATTCCGCTACCATGTTGATGGGGGGGGGGGGGGGGGGGGGATTGGGCCTTCGGCCACCTGTACTCACCAGATGAAACGCAGAATAAGAGCTTCTACTTCACGCCGGTATTCTGTGAGGTCGTGGTACCAACCCGGCTCGAGCCGGCCCATACGTGCAACAGCAAAAACTGCCGCGTGGCTCTATCACCGTTAACTTTTCTACACTACACTGTATAAAGCAGCAACATTAAGCTGATATTCTGTGTGAGTGTGTTCTGGCTCCGGTCGAGCCGACCTATAGGATAAATTTATATATATATATATATATATATATTACAAGAATAATTACTGAAGGCCATTTATGGTTTTCCTGTCTTGAGAAGAACCAGTAAGAAACCCAGCAGGAGGTTTTTTTAAACAATACTTTACAATATAATATGTTGTGCAATTAAAATCATTTAGAAACAGCATGGTTGCGATCATCTTATTCCCAAGGGTTATTATCAATTGTTTTTTTTGTTTTTTATGTCGGACTCGCACAGACTAAAACCCCATAGTGCTTCACCTTCGTCTCATATTGGCAGGGCCATGGGAAGCGCTGGTTGGCCCATGGCTTGCACTCCTCGGGAGAGGACTACTTCTACCCCACCTCCTTCTCAACGCAACGTCAGTTGCGCAACGGACGCCCCCATGTCTGATGCGCGAAGGCCATGGGGTCAGGAAAAACGAGCACTCAGAAGCACTAGCTTTCTTGACCCCAGCGGCGGATCTGTTCTATGGCTCCGCCGCCAACCAAGATCCAAACAATTTTCGCCAAACAATAACAATTTTTGCTTAATTGAATTTTTTTAACTCTTTGATAGATAAATTCTGCATATTATTATGGACTTTGTTGTAAAAGCATTCATGCTACAACCTTAATAAAGCTGCAGCATGGATCTACCACGTATAAAAACTAGACAGAAAAATGTAATTTATTTCGATAAAAAATACCTAAGTAGTGCCACGTGATAATTAATAGAATCAGGCGTTACTTTGCGGAAATTCATTGTATTATGTGAGGTGAGCCAATGGTGTGTCTATACTATAGTGTAGTGGTGTTAAGAGTAGTGGTGCTGGGATTTGTGGTGACGGAGATAGAGCACGCCATTGACGCTATTGAGGGAGGTGCTCTTCAAGGGAAGTACAACACATCATTTTATTTCATTACGCGGATATAAGCAAATTCATTTGTTAACAACTTTTATAGTGCCATATGAGTAAAGAAACCGAATTCTTTACTCGTGTGATAGTCCAGTACTTTCGAATAAA